CCTAAAGCTTGGTAAAAAGGGAGCGCGCTAGTAATTTCGTCCAGGGCGCTAGTATCGCTAACCGATATTCCCGTTTACCAATAGTCTATTGGTGTTAGAGCCTTTGTTATATTATCTTGAAGATTTTTTTTATCATTATGTAGGACACGATGTCAGGATTAGGCTAACTGCGCAATCAGTTTGTCTCTTGTATTAGTCGCGATTTTTTTATTACCAGACGAAGGACGATTGCACGATTCGGTCACGCTCAATCGGCACGCAGTCACGCTTTGTTTATTTTACATGTAAATAAAGGAATTATTGAGAAAAATAACACATTGAACAACAAAGATAGAGACTATATAAGCTGCTAGCAATGACTATAGTTTGATTGAACCAGCCTATTAAGATTGAATTAAGAAAGAATAAAACGTGCTTTATTTTTTTCTTTTAAAATCTATCAACATTTTTATTTTATCTGTGACATTATAACAATAGATGTGGTAGCTCGTAATAGCTCGTAAACAAGACTCGTAGTATAAAGTGTTCCGGTAACCAAAAATGTTCCCTAGATGGTTTGCCCTGATGGCCATTCGACAATAAAACGTAAATAAAATATTTTGTTAAAAGTTTAAACATTGAAAACAGAGGTGTTGGTAATGAATATTCTTCTAATCGAAGCTTTTGTACCGCACGTACTAAATATTACCCTTTTGTGTATAAAGCATTCGTCATGCATGTATTTGAGACTGCTAATGGTATTGAACAATAACGTAAGAGGCTAAGAGCTAGGCTAGACGGCTTAAGTTCGCTGCCCTCATGCGGCGAGACGGGGTGTGTCTGCACCTTTATATCTCCAGATATAGTTATGCTGGAAGACATTAGAAATATCCATTGTAAATGGTAATAGTAAATGTGAAGTTAAAAAATTAAAAAAAACTTGAAAACCTTTATGTCCACACTGTTAAGTTTTAAACGGTGTAAAGATATGATACTCTTATCAAACTTAAATACCTAGCAGTGTCAGTTCCAAGACACTATCTATGTAATTGTTATAATCTTGTCTTTGTGAAGGGTTTCGTCGTACAATAGTCAATTACCTCACTGCGCGCATAATTATAGCTTTGTGAGCTCACTTCACATTTAATGATAACGATTTGACAGCGCACTTTAATGACTTCTAGCCTTAACTAGGTAATATAACTTAGTACCTAAATATTAAAATTATTAGAATAACAAAACTTCGTAGAGTGACTTCTTTAAAGATGTAATTTGAGATTAAACATATCACTTTAGAGAATAAACCCTTTTAAAAGCTTAAAGGCCTGTCCCACCACTGGCTGATAGAGGCTCAGATAGGTTAAAAAGTCACTGTCAGATAAAGTAACAAAATCCGATATTTCCATCACATATTTTACACGTTGAATTGTTATCAAACAATTTGCAATTTGGCGGGAAAGGCCCTTAATCTTGTTAAATTTAAACTGTAATTATGACCTTAAGTTGATCGTAAAATGACTGTGCAGTTATTAAAGTTAGTACCCTTCCAAAGTGATTGCTTACCTTGAATTGACTCCGGATCTTATAACTGCTTAAAACAACTGCAAGTTCAGACAAAAACGAATTGCAATTGTTTAGATGCGAATCAAATAAATAATTAATTAAGTTTACAGTCATTTTATTCATTTGATGCAAAAAAAAACAGTATTCCTAAAAGCCATTACAGTACAAGAGAGGCCATCCCGATGCCGTATTTGTTAATTGGTCTGCGTTTCAATTTTGATTTTAGTAATATTTATTCAATTCAATCTTACTTCTTACTATCTTACTTCTAACTTCTTACTAATATTATAAATGTACTTGTAGCAATTTTTATAAATGCGAAAGTTTAGATGGATGGATGGATAGATGGATGAATGGATGTTTGTTAGAGTTTGGAGCCTACACGGCTGAACGGAATTTAATGGAATTTAGTATAGATGTGGAGGATAGTCTGGATAACATAGTCTACTGACTTTTGTTTTTTTTTTAATTTCACGCGGACGGTGTCGCGGGCGAAAGCTAGTTTAATAATAATAATTGCTCAAAACAAAAGAATTTTTGCTAACCGCGGACAATCAGAACGAAGTTTACGTGGATCTGATTTGCGCTTGTTTCAACATGACATGAATATTAATGCAGCAGACGCGCTGAATTATGTTGTAACATGAGAAGTACATAAGTGCAGGTAAAATCTTGTAACGTTGTAATAATCTAGCAATGTTATACATATGAAGGTATAGATATTGTATTAGTTATAGACTCAGAATTCTGAACAGTTCAGGATTAAATTTGTAGGGACAGATTACAGTCTGAAGTAGAGCATACTACTTAAACTTTTTAATTTTACGATCGTAGTCATTTGTTGTAAATCATACTTCATACTAATATTATAAATGCGAAAGTTTAGATGGATGGATGAATGTTTGTAACCTAAACGGCTAAACGGATTTTGGTGAAATTTGGCAAAGACCTAAAGGATAGTCTGGAAGAACACATAGACTACTTTCTTTTGTTTTTAATAATACCACGCGGACGGAGTCGCGGGCGGAAGCTTGTAAATAAATATTGTTGCCTATTACTGATAAACACCAACAAAGATATTGCCACTATTATAAGAACAGTAATATTGTAATATCTATTTTTTTAATTCCAAGTTATATTTTAAATGGTATAGTTTTTACCAGCTGTGAAGTACGTGCAATTTTTTTGGACGCATTCCAAACTGTATTGTTACCCGCTTCCTTAATTCATTTAGTATTTCAAGCAAACATAATAATAATAATATTTTTGATCATGACCTCGACAACTGAACTTTAGAATTTAGATTTGTAGTACGTTTTAGCTGACTTTTTCTTTCTTGTAGTGAAAGAGAATTTAGAATTGCAGTTTTGTTTTAGTATCAAAACGTTTTCTATTTTTTTGTGAACAATAAACCTTTGTTTTATGTAGTCTGCAGTACTTTTAGCACAGTATTTTATTTAGAAATGTTGATCAACAAGCCTAACAATTGGATGCAAACAGTTTTAGTATAAGAAACAAAAGGTTCGCAAATCACAAAGACAATTCTTGTAAACTCATAAACCACGAAATGAGGCTAGTTAGTAAAACATAACGCTATTGCCACAGAATAAATACAAACAAATCTAGTTCCTGGGTAGTGTACTATAAATAGAAAGCAGGAAGAAAGACCTCTGATAAAGCGTAAGTCATGGCAAAGCCATGGGAATGCTTTAGAAAAGAAATAAGCATCAATTTCATAGTAGCTTTGAAACTTACGGTCCTTTTATTCAAGCCTATATCATTCCTTTCTTTGTTTATAGGTTCCAAGATGCCCTCGCTCTTGGAAGCACTAGAGCGTAAGTACGGCGCGAAGGGCGAAGTGAACCCATGCATAGACGATATGCCAGTCGCTATCTTCGTGCCTAAGCGGTCACCCCGGCTGAGTGTGCCTACCCTATTGGTGCTGAATGATTGCGACATCGACTGCGCGGGAGACGCCTGCGCACTCGCTGATAAATGTGCTGATGTTGTGGAACTCGACCTGGCGAATAATAAACTCACTGAATGGCAGGAGGTAAATTGATAAAACATACGTTTATTGCGATCTAAAAAATAAATACGGTAAAGCAAATTTCTAAACAGTAAAAATGCTAACCATCTACAAATTTTCTTTAAACAATTGAATGTACTGTGTAACTTTTCAATAAGAAAAACTGTGCATTGTTTATTATTGGGGATTACGTTCAATATGTTATCATAAAATGTTCACATGCTAGTGTTGCTATACGCATCGTCTTGGCTATAGTTAACATCTGTTCACAAGACTGTTACAACATCTAATCGTGATGTCGACGCTTCCGGAATATTCTCTATCTTATATTATCATCAGTGTCATAATAATTCACTTACACTTTTTAAAGATCTTTTAAATGCCAAGATATTAAAAAAAAAATCGTAAGAGTAGAACGTATTTTTCTTTGTTTGTAGGTCTTCGCAATACTAGAGCAAACGCCACGGGTACGGTTTCTAAATCTAAGCTTCAATCGGCTCTCGGCACAAATTCAAGCAGCTCAGGCACTTCAGCCTAAATGGGACAGCTTAAGTCACTTGGTCTTGAACTCTACGTACGTCGGTTGGCCTAGCATCCTCGGTCTACTCAAGTCTCTGCCAGCTCTCGAAGAGTTGCACTTGAGCCTCAACGAGTATTCTTACGTGGACTTAAGCGGGAAAGAAATAGACGAGAAAGACCGTTGTGAAGCATGCTCCCGGCTCAATGTAGACTTTACTGAATCTATTCATGAGCAATTGAAGAAACTCCATTTCTCTGGTAATCCTGTGAGCAGTTGGCGAGAGATCAGCAAACTGGGATATGCCTTCCCCAATTTGGAAACGCTGTTAGTCAACGAGTGCCCTATAACAACACTAGAACCGGACCCTTGCGAGAAATGTGGAGACGCCAATGGGAATAAAAAGAGTCACGACGCGTTTTCGTGAGTTATTTTTTTAATCTTTCAAAATCTCGGATCCAAAGAACTTTTCTATTAACCTATAAGAAGTAACAATATAATATACTTTGCTTGATCTTATGTGGTTCTTAGTTTTAATCGATTGATAGCCTTTTGACTGTTGCCTTAGTATTAAATCTGAGAAACCATTACTGCCAATAGTTGTTATTGCCCTAATGAACTGTAATTAAGAACATAGATAGCTTGATATTTCTTAGTACTTATTGTGCCGTACAAACGGGTTCGGGTCCCGCGGCACAACCTACCCTTGAACTACGATTGCACCGGAGGGCATAATATTGTAAACGTAATGGGGAAAATGGTACTCACCAGCTCGATGAATTTGCGTCACCTCCTCCAGGTGCCTTGTCTCAGTCAATGTCAATCGAGTCAGTCTGGTTCAGTCAAGTCTATAGGCCCAGCGATGCTGCCTGAAGATGTATCAGCAATTTCGAACGCGAAACCGAATTTAGCGACCCCGTTCGCTATCGAAATCGACACGCCTGTTGTGTCGTCGCGTTATAAAAAGAGCCACTTTTTTCCGCACAAGTTCGCGACCGTTCCGCTTGGCTGCTCGATTCCGACCTTTTTTTCGCATCCCTCTCCGCAGGCCCCGCGCCCGTCCGTCGTGGAGAGGGTTTACTGTTCTACCCGCCCGTGCGAGAAAAATAAAATAAGCGCGCTTACCCGCATTAAGCCCGGGGCGCGAAATACAAAATTATGTTCGCCACCGAATGTGGCGAACCCGTGCTATCTATACCGAACACTTATGATATGAAACATTTGCAGGCATCTTCGATTCCTCAACCTAAACAACACCGGCCTTGCCACGTGGGATGAAGTCGATAGATTGGCTTTGTTTCCGGCATTGAGAAGTTTAAGAGTACAAGTAAGTGATAAAGTTTTATGCATCTACAAAAATTGTATGATTTAGAAGAAATTCGTGTGTTTAGGTGATCTGCAATAGTAAATTTCTTTTCAAAATATTCTGTGTATGATAATAGTCATAATAATAAGCCTCTTTATTTCCATATTTATATAGCGTTTAAAATATCATTTTGTTAGTGTTGTTAGTTTTACACCTTATTACAGTTATTAGTATTGTTAGTCTACTATGTTCAACTATTTTTTAAACATTGGTCCCTTCTTGGGTGAAGGCCTCCACCATGTCCTTCGAGCCTTCCCAGTTTTTTTTTTGGTGTCAGCCAGTCTTTCCTCGTCACTTCCATTATATTATCAGACCAGTCTGTGTGTCATAATCAAATTTATTATGTAGAAATTCACGTAATGAGATGAATCAATTTGAATTGATGATATTAGTATATCTTAAAAACAAAAAGATATGAGATTTATACCGATTGGCTTACATAAGAAACTGTAACGAGAAAACTCCGAGATAAATGTAATCTGTAAGTAATAGCGAATTTATGAAATGAACGCTAACATATTTTACAAGTTACGTATAAATAATTACATCTTAAGCATTTAATATGCGGAAATATTTCAACCTTGCACCAATTGACTTGCGTAAACAATACCTAAATAACGCAATGCTAAAGATGCTATTAACCGACATACGGTTTGAGGCCGAAGTAAAATAATTCTTCAACGGTTTGAAGATTCATTAAAACATAATTAGTATTGTACAAAATATAGTTCTTTAAACTATATTTTGTAACATTTGTTAATGTTTTTCAGTTTTCGTTCCTTCAATAATAAAAGTCTCTGCTAAATTATTGATGTATAAAGCTATTATAACTTTACATGTTTCAATATTCTTGCTAACATTAAGACTCAAATAGTAAACTACATGTAAGTAAGAGTGTTAGTGGCTCAAGAGTTTAACCGCTAGCACTTTTGTTATTTACCAATAAACGGTTGACTGCGAATGCAAAATAAATCGCAAGATATAATGAACATCACGTAACATTGGTAATCTGTATCGTCACACTCGAGTTGCACAGAGGTAATTGATATGCGTTGAAGTACATCTATCATTGAGCGGCTATAAACTGTGTTATTATCCGTTACGTCATCACTCCGGTTTTAATACGGTCCCCCGATGTTTGTGCTGATTGAATCTAATATAGCTATCTGACCCAAACAGGTCAGGAGAAAGTGTTATGCGACTATCCAGTAGATATAATCTATATCTATATGTAATATTAATTTATTAAAACTTTCGTGAGACATTATACTATATAATTTATAACACGGCTAAACTCACGTGGTAACCTTCGGTGTAGGCACCGACCACTTTGAGACCCGTCGATGGTCCTTCTGGTCGGTGCCTACACCGAAGGTTGCCACGTGAGTTTTCCCGTGTTATATATACTAATATTATAAAGAGGAAAGATTTGTATTTATATGTATTCGATTCACGTAAAAACTACTGGGCCAAAATAATAAAATCTTTCACTATTAGAAAGGTAATTTATCTATAAGTAACATAGGCTATTGTTTATTATTTTTTAATAGCACGCGGACGAAATCGCGAGAAAAAGCTTGTCATAGCTAGCATAGCATAGCTGGTCGTAACTATGGTAACTTCATGTCTCAATTGTCTTATAAGAATTCGTATTTGAAATACTCATGTTGCACAAGCTTTATAATTAGTGTATCGGTAACCGTACCCTCGGGAGACCGGGCGCCGGGATTCGGGTGAAGGTCTCCCGAATTTAGACGTCCCACTAACGCCTCGATACTTACGCAATAGACGAATGCAATCCCGAAATGTGACGTCATTCCGACATACGTTTTACTATTGATAAGATAATATTTATTAGAAAAGAGCAAAGAAGTGATTTTATTTCATACATTTTGCTTACAACTCTGAATAATCGCCGATATAGCTTTCCCTTTTATATGTTTGTATGCGAATTATGATAAAAATAGCACCTAAAATCGTGTATAGTAATACTATAAAGGAGTTTTGCATTTTTTTTATTTTTATATGTATTGAAATAACTCTAAAACTACTGAACCGATTTCAAAAATTCTTTCACCATTAAAAAGCTACGTTTTCAGTGAGTAATATAGTTTTTATTTCACGCGGACGAAATCGCGAACAACAGCTAGTAAGAAATAAACTTACACTTCTTCATAGTGGGATACCTGAAGCGAGGGTAATCGATAGTTGGTATTTGCTAACTTAGTATGCCTATTCCCTCTACACTTAGGCACCAACGTCATACTTGTAAGTAAATACTGTTAGCAACTAGAATATATTATATTTATGTACGAGATGTCGCCCGCAAACTTCCTTAGCGCAAATATGGACCACGCGTTACGGCATTTTGACAGCGAGGAATAAAAAAAAGTGGCCTTTAATATGCCCGTCTATGTCAGCTACAATTAAGTGGAAGTACGGTCGAAATTGGCCCAGTCGGCTTGCGGATAGACAGACAGATAGACAGACGAACAAATTTTAATGCGATTTTCGTTATCAGCAACGCAAATACATCATCTTCCCGAAATCTGTGATTTTTCTTTTGATATTACAGACACTCCAATTTTATTATATGTATAGATTTAGCTTACGCACGTCGTATAATTGACATTTTATAGGGTCGTTAGGTCTGTCCTCGACCGGTCTGTCAATGTCGCGTTAATTTGTGACGGCTTGTTTATAGCTCAATAACACAAGGTCCATATTACAATCATAACGATAACGGAACAGATAACAAAATCTCTATTGAAATTGTCTAATAATCTATTTCAGTATTAGTAAATTCAAGGGTATTGTTTGTGTTAATGTACAAAAATACAAATTCTCCTAAAAGAAATGTACCTTTTTTTTTAAACTTACTACAACTAGGAAACGTTTTCACTGTTTCAAAAGATTACGTTAGAAGTGTAAAAAAGAGTATTCTGAGTTCTGAGCTTCCTTTTACTGCACATAGTAACAAAAATGCGGAATACGATGGTTTTGCAAATACTTTTAATGTCCTCGTGCAATACTCGTTAATTGGTTAGAATGGCATTAACATACAAATGAGGTTCTTTATGAATCACTGAACACGGGCAGACCTTTTGTCTATTCTGTAGCATAGGTTGCTATTGTGGAAACGCTAGTATGCAATTGTCCCTTTCATACTCTTTGAGAAAATTGAAACGACAATATGTTTGTCAGTAAGGTTTCATAATCGAAAACTTTTAAGATCAAATTGTCGATATGACTTTATAGGGGTTAACTTCTTTGTTTCTAGAACGTATAGAGGATAAATGTACAAAACTAGGATTTCTCATTTTACAGGCGTCGAATATTATTTGTTATATATTTTATTTTTAATTAAAGAGTTAATAAAATGATTATATCGTAGTAATTACGCAAGTAATTATCTAAAGCGCGATGTATGCGCTATAATGCACATCACACGGATATGTCTGCTTAACCTTGCACGTCGCGTTGGAATAGCCTTAATTGTATCGCTACCACAAGGAAAAACGTTCCTTATTAGAAGTGTTTAAAAGCGAGTTTTCCATATTAGTATTCGGCCGTCACATAGTGAATGTGAAAGCGATGTTTGATTTTAACGCAACTTTATTGTAAAAGGACGTTTGCGGCTTTATAGTGCAGTGACGTCACGCTTTAACGCAATCTTTTTTTATCTTGCCTTCTATTGTACGTAACTAAAACATAGGTGTTTGTTTTATTTGCGCTGTTTGGTGTGGAAAATTGATATACAGGTGGTTGGAATTTAGGTGTAATCTACAATCCGTTATTTTCGAACATCCTGTAACTTTTTTTTTGCTTTTCATCTTCTGGAATGAGGAAAACTTAATTACCAGGATTTAAATGTAAAACTAAGACATTTTAACTATCCCACTTAACATAAAACGAATAATTTATTTTTGAATGTACTCGTATATTCATTTTAAACCGGGTACCATAAATTTTAAATAGATAATTTACAATTTCCCGATGTGTGTAATGCTGACTTAATTTGTTGGACCGAAATACTGGCAAGGTGTTTGCATTGCATGTTGAATAGAACAGCTGTTTTAAACAATATGGCCGCTCAGCCGAGCGTGCTAGTCTGGAACGCGGTGTGCTTTTCGCTACCGTTTTAGTGATTAAATGTGGTAAAAAACGCAGGACTATTGCATAATTTAAGGAATTTCTTGAATTTAGCTCTAAATAAAGTATAAGTAACAAAGAACGTACATACGTGCTTTTTTGTCATCAGAATAAGCATAGAGAAGACTACAAAGGATAAATCTGTAATGCACGTTTGTATATTTTCAAATATTAGTATGTGTATGATTAAGTTTATATAAGTCAAGGATAATTTTCAACGCAGCTTCTTTAATACAACTGATCCCTCGAGCCGGACATATTTCTTATTCATCAGCTACACGCGCCGAGTTTGGTTATGAATGCACCGATAAAAACTTAAACAATGCAGTCCGCGAGCGTGCCTTCGTGTTGGTAAAATAACAAAGCGGG